AGGTTTATTTATCTGTTTTTGTTTGGTTTCTTTGTTACATTTCGGCAAGATAATTGTAGAAACTAAGCTGTGATAATGAGCAGAAACAAAAAAGCATTTTTTAAAAAAGAAAGTTTTTTGGTTGAACTTTTCTACAATCGAGTTTCTTACGAGGCAAGATGTTTTTATCACATTTTTATAACAAATAAAATAAACATGAGAAAATGTCATGACAAAATTTGATAAAATGGTAAATTGTTTGTGGCTTTTTTTAAGATGCAGAAAGATATGTGGCTGTTTTTCAGAATGGATTTTTTTTTGTCAAAATTCCTGCTTGTTTTTGTACAATTAAATGTATTTAAAACTATTTAAATTTATTCAAACAAGTATTGTAACGATTTTTCAAACACAGGAAACAGATTTTTACCAACCCTGTCCAAAACTGTAATGACCAGCCTGGTAACAGTCGTCCAGCCCTGAGTGGACATGGTATATTTCATTTGCTACATTACTACGACCACTTCCTGCTTCATTTGCTACATTACTACGACCACTTTAGAAAGAGAAAGTTCTCTTTCTAACACTTAGAAAGAGAACTTTCTAAGTGTTAGAAAGTTCTCTTTCTAACACTTTACATAATATATAATTTATATAATTTTATAATTTAGTTCGGCTAAAGTATTCAGACAACTTCCAGCCTTGAAATCAAATGAGTTCATCATTCTCCCTGCAGTCATTTATCTCACACGTTATAAGAGACAAATATTCTAAAAACATCTTGTTTCAGCAGAAACACGTCTTCCCGCCTGCTTATCGTTATTGTCTTCTGCACATTTTCCAGTAATGATTTTCTCCAGATATTTTTTACTTACTTTCACCGTTTTTTTTTCTTTTCCACAAGACAGAAATTTCTAAGCACGTTCCTTTTTAGTGTTGTTAAAGTAACGCCACCTGAGTTATCAAAGATGTTACAGGGTGAACCCCACTGCCCTGAAATGATCCAGCAGGTTCCTCATTAAACTGTGCGTGACAGTGATCGATCACAACTTCCTGCTTCACGTTCGTTCCAATAATCCTACACTTCCTGTCTAATTACCTGGCTGTTTGTCACAGCCTCACCTCGAAGGATAAAGCTCCTCAAGACTTGAATTAGTGCAATCATGCCGCTGGCCTTTTCTCAGCTGACCCCCGTGACCGCAGAGCTCAGAATATCCTCGTTGGAGAGAAAGAGCCGCGAACATGGAAAAGCACTAATAATGCTGGGTCTATCAGGTGTGGTGCGTTCAGGGTCCTGAATTATTAGACAAAATTCCATTTCATTTCTGGGAGAAAGCCTCATCAATTTTCCATATGGTGAAATAACATTTCAGATCGGTTCAGTGGGCCTGATTCGGCCCAGGAGCCACGAGTTGATTATCGCTGATTCAGGGCTTTTCTTTTGAAATCCTGAGACTAGATCAGATTCATATATTCAGTCTATTGTTTTGCTCATTGTCGCTGCAGTGTTCATTAGTATGTTCTTCCAGCGTATGTTCACACACGCCCTCTATCACGCACACACACTCAAGCGCACAAACACACACACAGACGCACACAAATACACAAAGGGAGCTACAGTAGGTTCTAATCACTGCCAAGCCACAGCATGCAACATGAAAAGAACAGTTGTTTTTGGTTTTTTTCTGTTTTCTTTTTTTCTTTTTGCCTTTTTTCACATGAACACAGATGCGTTATGTGTGCCGACATCGAGGCTCACTGAGATCGAGCACGAGAGAGAGAGAGAGAGAGAGAGAGACACTACGGTACACAGATCTACACATATCAATGCATTATGGCAGTTTTTACATTACGGAGTTACACTCGGGTTTACATGGTAATATTCAAACATGACTCTTTTAAACTCAAACGTGACCACAGTGGAGAGACAAGCCCAGATGAAGTGACTGTGAAGATATGATGGATGCACTGACTGTGTGGGTGCCGTGTGGAGTCGTGTCGCTGAGATGTGATGTGATGTGGATGAGGCCATGTGCCGGTGCCACGTGAGGAGATGCTCAACAAATCACTAACAACAATGCGGAAAATACGAAAAAATCAACAACAACAGAATACGGATTTCAAAAAAGAGAGAGAAGAAGAAGAAGAAGAGGAAGGAGAAGAAGAGGAGGAAGAAGAAGAACAGGAGGAAGAAGAGGACGCAACAGGAAACAAAAAGGGAGGGACAAAACCACAAGCTGCTTTCTAGCTCGGCCCCAGAGTCCTGCTTTGAAGTGGTTCGCTTCAGGTCCTTTTTTTGCGGGTCAGGGTCTGATTTTTTCATCAGAACTTAAGATTATCCAACAGAGTATTTTTTCATCTTTCATTAAAGGAAAGCTGTTTGTTCATGAGCTGTCTTCTTTTGCTTTGTATCAAAAATAAAGGTTTATTTCACTCATACTGTGAAGAATATTGAGATTAAATAATACGTTACCAAATCCAGTGATCAGTATTTGGAGTATTACACCTTTTTTATCACATTTTATAGGAAATTCAGGCTCATTAAAAAAAAAAAATCCAAAGCTTTTTTTTACACCTTAAGTTATAATATAACAATAATAATTACCCTTAAGGGTCCTGGACCAGTCATTGTTGTTCTTTTTTTGTGAACTACTTTCTTTTGGAGTTTTGGCAATGCACAATTCCAGATCTCATATGCATTTTTTTAAATTATTTCCTCTGATTTCATCTGCAAAAACACACGTTGTTAATATGTCACATTATGCAGATGATGTCACGATGTTTTCAACATGTGAAACTGAAAACCATTTGTGTTTGTGAAAGTCAATTGTGCTATTGTTCTTCTGTTTTGATTGTAAATCATGGCTGATATTGATCAAAACATTGAAGTGCAAACTGATTCAATCTCCACTAGACTTTTTTTTATTCACATTTAACAAAAACAATGTGTTAAATTTGACAAAAAAGGTTTGTTTTTTTTCTTTCTACTTTCATAACTCTTAATGTTGAAAGGGACCCGTCATCTATTCAATGGACACAACAATTTGATTTTCTCTCTAATTTAAAATGTTATTCTTTTTACTCTCGTTAAATTTGACAAAAAAGGTTTGTTTTTCTTCTTTCTACTTTCATAACTCTTTCTTAATGTTGAAAGGGACCAGTCATCTATTCAATGGACAAAACAAATATAAAAAATTTGCTTTTATTTTCTCTCTAATTTAAAATTCTATTCTTTTTACTCTCATTTCTGAGCTTTTTGAGAGATTTCACGCCTCAAACTCATAAGTATGAACAACTCTGGCTGTCTGGTTGCTGTTCTCTGCCCATATATAAATAAATACATAAAAAGGATTTACTAATTTGGAACAATTGAGGACCTTTGGGGTTTGATGTAATCAATAAACGGATCTCTTCTACATTTCTCACCTTCTAGAACTGATTTAACGCCGTACGATCCCTCTGAGGTATTTAAAAGTCCGGACTTGTTCTGTGTGCAGCTCCAGGCCACTTACATGAAGCACGGCAGCAGCCCAGAACTGCCGTAAATATGTGTTTGCTTATGTGCTATTATTCTGCCAACAATGCAGCGAAACATTTCTGTGAAAAGTGCAGCCCACAACAAACAAGCCGTTTATAGCGACAGATAGCATAATTGCTATTGATGCAGCCTGAGCAGATCAATGCGGTATTTTTAGTGAAACTCTGTTGGTACTGCACTTTGCTAAACAGAAGCAGGGGGCAAACAAACAAATCATTTTGAAGTCAAGTTTGCTCGAAACAGGCAACATAACAGCACAACCGAGTATTTTAATTTTCAGTGTTATATTTGATGTACTGCTTATTTGAGTGAGGATTGTAATCATTGGACTAACATAAAGCTGCCCGTGAAAAGTTATGGTGTTTAAAAAGATCGTAACTACTAAAGCTACTCATTTGCTGCTAATTTAAATGTGAAGGACACACAGCAGGCCTGGATTTCATCGTGGTTTTGCTAATTGATAGCATAATGCGGGGTACGTCTTGCAGTGATTGAGCATTGCCAGTTTTTACCAACAGGAGGCAACACATGTTCAAATTGGACATCGTTGCCAAACCACGATGTTTGGTGTGCAGGAAAGGAACGTGAACTACTTGTCTGCTTTTGACCCATCACCAAAGTCAGCAGGGGGCGGTGTGTGGGCACCTCAGTGGTAACTTGGCAGCTAGTGGACTTGAACCGGAAAACTTCCGGATCCAAGTCTGCTTCCTTAACCACCAAGCCACCACTGCCACCGCCCAAAGACAATTTGTTCACACAATATATGGGCCTTATTGAACTCTTATATTTACAAAAAAAATATTTCGGTAAAATTCTGTCTCTTCTGACTCTTATTTACCAGATCTGGGCTACGAGCCACAAGCCTGCATTCATATTTAAGACCAAAATTGGTGCAAATTAGACTGAAAAGTCAAGACTATTGCATATTGCTTTAAAAGATGGCCGTCTCTTACACTATTTTTTTTTTACCTTGTTTAGTTAAGAAGCAAAAACCTGACCAGAATAGCTCCTGGTACAAGAGAGTGTGAAATTACCGCCCTGTTTGGGTGGATATTCATTTTTACATGTTCTAGAAATGGCAAATTCCATCTCGCAGTGACTGCGATAACAACTGTACCGCCTCAACAAGTCGGAAAAACCTGAGCAAATGAGACACTTGACATTTAAATAGTGTGGATGATAGCACTGCTGTCACTGCAGACTCTAACCTCAGCCCCTCTTTGTTTTATGACGCAGGAGCAACAACAATAAAACTGATCCACCCCACAAGAACCTGAAGCACTTACAACCACTTCAACTTTAACACTGCTGGGGTAGTTGTTTTTGTTGCCGTAAGTGGCTTCTGCAGCACCGCTACCAACAGGATGCATGACAAGTGGCCGCAATTAAAACTTACAAGAAAATAAAGTCCAAAGTAAATTAAGAAAAACATAGGAAAAAAATAAAAGTATTTGCACTGATGTTACAAGGATGCAGCCTTCCTTACCTGGGGACACAGGCGGTTGAGGGCTCCCCCTCAGGGGCATCAGGGGCCGGGCAGCAGAACTGGTGCAGCACTGTTTGGTTTCTGAGTGAAGGAAACAGAGGAGCACAGTGAATACAGAGATCTTCCTGCAGCTTCGACTGTCGATCATCTAATAACCTTCACAATTAACTCATCAATCAAACGTCATTTCACATCTACAAATACGTCCAAACCAAATCAACTTCAATCTTGATAAATCTGGACCCCTACAAGTCTCCATGAAAACCAGTCCTACAGCGTGGCTGGCTGCTGACTCAGCTGATTTGACTGAGCTGGTTCACTGATCCAGTTAGCTTTCTCAATAGAAACACTGCAGACTCAGATGATTCGGTTCACTGACTTCACTACAGTGTATTATTGAAGTAATACTGCAATAAAGAAGCAGATTAACACAGTGGTGTCGACTATGTGGCCGATAAATGGATTCACATTCTATGCTGATGATACTATTATTATTATTATTATTATCAATTGGTATCAGTGTTATTTATTATTATTATCAATTGGTATCAGTGGTACATATACAGACCAGTGTTTACCAAACTGTTTTTCTAGGGACCGATATTTTAAAAGTCACAAACGTTCGCAACCCAAGTCAATAGATACTATTCGTAAACTCCTGGGAAACATCATGCGAGACGACCCAAAAAAAAAAATCTCTTGCGACCCAGTCTTTGGAAACAATGATATAGACTACTAATGCAGCATATTCTATTGTATTAAAAAATGACATACTTCAGTGTTATCATAATTAAAAGCGTAGGTAAAATAAGAAAGACTTCGTCTTCATGACCATTTGAAGGGCCATCCTTCTCTTCGTTTAACTAAAAATTGTTTTACTGGCCACAAAAACCCCAGGCTGCAAATTTGAGGCCTATTTAACAGGGCTGTTAGTTTTAAATGGGTGGAAACATTAAATTGTCAGCCAGAGACAGTGTTTTTTTTTTAAAACCATCAGCTGAAGCTAATATCACCCTAATCACTCAGATGACCACAGGTCATAAAATACACTGCAGCTACACAGTAAAATCAGTAAATACTGGATGATTTACACAGGCTTCGAGTAGTACTGACAAAGGACCTGATATACCGTGGACTCCAGCTCCTGCTTCTGGACGTCAATTTTTTTTATCAATCCTTTTTTTGAAGTTAATCAACCAAACATGTTAAAAGAACCATTAGATTCTACTGTTAGATCTGAAGGTCAAACTGTTCGATGGAGATTCCCTGACTTGACGGTAAAAGAGTGATTTCCTCAGTCGTCCTGCAGTCTGTCACAGCGGATTAAAATAAACCGTGCCGTCTGTGTGCACCGCAGTGTGTTGTGGCGGAGAGATGAATTGCTCATGATGGACAGCAGTTCTCTCTCTGACCTCCAGGGTCATTCCTCACTCAGACGACTGCACGTTCTGACCAGGGACAGCAGCCTCGATGAATGGGTTCATCGATCCCCGCAACGGCTGCTGCTCCACCAGTGGAGAGCAGACGAGTTGAAATCTGCCCAGCAACTCTGATCTGAATTCATCTGACCAATCTGGTCCGTGTTTCGGGGTGAAATATTAAATATACAGGAACATTGTGGATGTTTGGTTTCAGACATCTCATCTTAAAGTTAATTTAATTCAGATTTATTTGCATTATCCAAGGCTTCGTGATTTAAAAACAAAAAGATCCAGGATTAAAACTAACAAACACTGTGACCTGCTCATGAGCGCCCCCTACAGCCATTTCACAAGAATAGAAATTTTGTTTGAAATTTCAATTTAATAAAAAAAAAAAAAAAAAAAATCAAAACTGTAACATCAATTATTTATAGTCTTTTTTACCCCCGGCTTCCAAAGTCACCGTGGTTGTACACGCTGCTATTTGTTAAATCAAACTTATCCCGTAGTCCAGGGTCAAACAGAACCAAAGCTGACAAGGCGCTGAAGATTACAGTTCCCTTTAGCGACTAATTCCTTCACTTTAATGAAAGGAAACACACAGTACAGCCTTGGCAGGTGGTGCTTTGATTTGAATGATAATTAGATTTTGAAAAGAGTCACTTTCATCAGAGCAGGTGGCAGCTGCCAAACTGAGATGAACCTGTAAAGTTAAAAGTTTAATCAATGTTGGAAAAGTGTGCTAAAAAAACAACAACAAAATGAGACAAAGGAACATAAATGACAAGTTTTCTTTTGATGATGAAGTGATGCATGTTGCCATTGTCTCTGAAATGGGTAGAAAAAATAGAAATAAATGAAATGAAACATTTATAGTCATTATCAGTCAAGTGTGAGACTAAATGATTTCTTTTCTCCCAAATTTAAATGAAAAAATAGTTTCCAGTTTCCAGCCTTTCCTTTCACTACCACCAATTTTAAACAATTAAATCCGATTTTTCATCACTCTTTTATTCTTTTAAAATATTACAATGGTAAAAGACTTTGCCTTTTTACTCAGTAAGCAAAAGTTCAAGTATAAGAGATACAGATAAAAGGTACAAGACCCAACCCCCGCACAGTCAGAATTACGTAAAGTGTTTTATTTAAGATGTTTTCCTTTATTTTAAAGTGCACTTTTTAAACCTGCGTTTCTTTACAAATAAACTAATCTTTGTTACTGAAAACCTTTGTCTTTGTCTTGAAAACCTTGCTGCTGTTGCCATGGTAGGTCGACTGCACTCTTTTTTTTATTTATTTTTTTATTGTGAAGTCAAAATAACAGCGCCGGTGCAGGTGAAGGTGATGCTGAAACCAGGTGAGGAGAGACAGCAGCGATGTAAAAAATTCATGTGAATGAGGAGAAGCCTTGAGTGCTTCTGGGCTCCTCTCCCTGCCTCCACATTACCATGTCCTCTCCTTCACATGGACACGGCTTCAAATTCTTCAAGGCTCCATCCTTCTCCTCCTTCAATATTCTACCCCTCCCACCCCGCCCTGCCCCCACCTCCTCTGCATTTTTACACTGACTTTTCCCTGAATCCCCATCCCCCCATTCCAGGGTCGTGCTGGGAACAGCGCAGAACAGGAATTTGCTCAATTATTTCTGCTGTCAGGAGACGGAGCCTTTAAAGGGTAAGAGAGCAGCTGCTGCTCCTACGGTCCATCCCTGGACTCAGGGCGTGGACGTGGGCACAGCAGAGAGGAAGGAGGTATGAAGACGAGCAGGTCTTAGTTTGAATTTCCCCATCACCTTTAGACCCTTCCACCCTGCAGTCAATCATCCTGCCATCGTGTCCTCTGGAGGGAGGTCAGGCAGAAGAGACACATCTGTAAATCTTCCTCTGAACCACAGGAGGGCCATAACTCCTCAAGAACACTTCAAGTCCAACAGATTCTGTTTTTTCTTTTTTTTTTCTAAGGATTTTTTTTGTCTACTCAGTTCAGTTATAGCAAAGAGAAAATTACTGCATGTCATCAAATTAATTCCTACTGTTAACGACTCATCTAATTGTTCCGGCCCTAACGACCATGACACTGCTGTGGGAGATTTTAATGGGTGGAGAACAGTGAGCCTCTCTGAGGGGACAGATTAGTGCCAGCGTTGGGACGCAGCAGCCATTTGCTCTCACTGATAAGAGGTGAGCATTGGTCGGGGCCTATTAAAAGATCATTAATTCTCAAAATCATTAGTTGTTACTTCTTTAACTGCGCTCACCTGCAGAAAAGCTGCAGCAAAGGCGGGATAAGAGGAGAGAGAATATGGCACAGTCCTAGGATACTGGCTGTGCCATTCGCAGATGATGAGGTTCTTTTGGTGCATTTAAAAGTCAAAACCATGAAGAAAAGTCCCATAAATCTAAAACTATACTATATTTAAAGCAGTGAAATGGCACTTCCTGGTCAGACAGGAAGTGCTCGTCCATACGACAGGGTTAAGGTTCCTGCAGCAGAAGATGAAAAAAACAGTGAACCCTGTTTTCCAGAGAGCATTGTTCCCCAAAGACTGGGTCGCGACCCTCAGGTGGGTCGCAATTGATTTTTTTTTTTTTTTGGGTCGTCTCGGGTCATGTTTCCCCGGGGTTTATGAATAATGTCTATTTACTTGGATCACAAAGGTTTGTGATTTTCAAAGTATGGGTCCCCAGAAAAAAAAGAAATTGGTAAAAACTCTAGATGGTGCTATTTGAAAGTGTTTTTTATACCCCTTGTCAATGCTAACGACGCACTAATAGGCTGTTAGCGAGAACGGCGCTATTATATCTTTGCTCTTGATGTGGAACACTAACCATTCACTGCCACTGAGAGCCTTGATTCAACGTTGTCCTCAACCTGTTCAGGCTTAAAAATAAACAAATACAAATGTTCTTTAAACGTATTCCTGATTTATTTGCAGGGGTTTTGTTTTGTTCAAAATGTATGTCAACATGTAAAAGATTTTTTCCTTTTATTTTAGTTTGTTTCTTGTTGTTTCAAATAGAAAGGACACTTTTTAGAGTTTTATTCTGGATGGCCTCCTTTGGGAATGGAAAAAACACCTGGTCGTCAGATTATTCCCAACCCCCGCTGCTACGGTGATTGTTCACATCTTGTATTTCACACAAACAGCTCAGACTACATTGGTTTATAATTTCAAAGGGCTTGGACCTTTTTTTTTCATATTTAGTTGGCTGCATAAAAAGCTGCTGCATCCTATTTGTATGTAAACCGCCGGCTTAAACCCGCCTCTGGCTTTGTGTGCCGATCGTGCTGTGAGCATGAATAAGGACCCGAGCTTATGAAAGTGCTGATTCTCAGCAGCAGCGTTTGGAGGTACAATCGCAGCTCATTTGCCTTGAATCGATGGTTATTAGTAGGGGAGGCTTAGTTAGCCGATCACGGATCACACACCAACACACGCATGTTCACAGAGTGCTGCATCGGCAGAATTCTACGCCTTTCTTTCAGCACATTTGGAAGAAAAAAACTCCCTCCTTCTTCTGCACCATTGAAGAAGAATGAACTCCATCTTTTAAATTACCTTCCCCTTTGATTCGTCCTCACAATCCATCTTTGTCGGCTTTGATCTCTTCTAATTTTACCTCCATTCATTTTGGCCCCGTCTCTTCAGAGATTTACTAT